CCAGTTCCTGGCCCTTGTCTTGTGCCGCCCAGACTCTGCCCGAGCCTTTTGGAACACCATGGCCACCTGTGTGCGGTGGTCGACTGCACAGGCGGCTCCTTCCTCTGTATTTGCCGGCGATGTGGTTTTTTACAGCACTGGAGGCCGAGTCAAGAAGCTGGGTGAGGAATGCACCAGAAAGAAAGCTGGTGCTGGTCTTACGGCCTGGGACTATTTCATCCAGAGCCGACACCCACAGCAGATCAGGAGGGAGAAGTATGTACAGTTTCTCCCCCCCCCTGGATTGTGCTGTAAGGAGAGGTGGTCCCCATTCTTGGGGGTCAGGCAGAGGTCAAGCGTGAAACAAATCCCCCATCGTCGTCCTCCTCCTCCTCCTCCCTCCTCTCCTCCTCGTCCTCCTTTTGCTCCTCCTCCTCCTCATCCTCCTCCTCAAGGGGCTTCATCAGGTCCTGGCACCAAAGTTACCCCACGTGGTCCCTTACTGCTGTAAGGTGACATTATAAGGGGGCCTCCGAGGGATGAACATCGTCAGACATGCATGAGCGTAAATGGATCCTTGGCGATCGCCGAATTCCAGCTCAAAGTTGTCCACAGACGGGCCGCAAAAACTTCCTGACGTGCCCAGCATGCCCACCCGAGTCCCCAAGAAACCCAGGACTACACACGGCCTCCAAGTCGGTCTCAAGACGTCCCAAGATCGCAATATGAGCCCCAGCATCGCATCTGGACGGCCCCTGGGCCCTGCCTCCTATTGCCTCATCAGCCCATGGGAAAACGCCCAGGCGCCCCCAGGGCGCCTCGGTGGCCATCCGAGATATTAAACTCTTCGAAGCCTTTTTCCGAGTATTTTTCAACTGATCTGACACTCGTAAGTTTTGGGTTGAAGGTGCTTGCTTGAAGGGTCCGAAGGGCGTTATAGAGGCTTCAAAAAGAACCCAAAGGCCCACGGCAGCCTCCAAGAAGCCCAAGACGGCCCAAGTACTTCCCAAGGTCGGCAATACAGCCCCTAGACATCCACAAACTGCCTCCAGACATTCCCAAATAGCGTCGCGCGGCCCGAAGGGACTCCAAGATGGCCTGAAGAGGCCCCAACAAGAGGGCTCGAGGCTGCCCGATAAAGCGCCTCAAGGGCCTCAAGACGCGACGAGCCAGCGAGCTGTCGCCCTGTCTCAAGATGGTGGAGATCTCCGTCCCCATGCTGGCCAGGTTTCCCATGTCACTCGCCCGACCGGCCGGCAAACTTCGTGATCCTCCTTCCAGTCGGACCTGTCAGCGACGCGGGGATGGGGGGTAGGGGTAGGGGGAGGGCTTCTTAGAAGCACCCCTGCTTCTTAGGAGGCGCGGGCCTCATCTATAGGTTCAGGGCTGGCGCCTTCTGAAAAGCGGCCTCCTCAGAAGCCTTCCCCCCCTCCCCCTACCCCCTGTGCGCGCCGCCCCCTTGGGGTCCCAGGGCATGGGCCGCCCAGGCGATGGTTGTGCATACGGTAGGTTAGCGTCGTGTCGACCGGCGGCGGCCCCGCCGCATTCGTTCAACGTTGAACGCCGCCAGGGACCCAGAACCGGTCGATGCTGAACGATCTGACGTTTCGGAATCGGTTGATCGTTCAAGTTTGAACAATCCCTGCGGTGTCAGGAACCAACGCCGAAGTCGGCACGACGCGAACCTGCCATAACCATTCCCCACCGTCGCAGCGGGGGCGCAGCGGGCTGGCGCGAGCGCCCGCGGCGGTCCGCCGCCAAGCCGCACCTGCCGGTCAGAGGCAACGTTTTTTTGGAGCGGGGTAGGCCCGGGAGGAAGAGGAGGAGGAGGAGGAGGAGGAGGAGGATGTGGGGTAGGCCCAGGGGGGGTGGATAGGCTCAGGGGTTCGAGGGATTCAAAGTTCAAGCCGCCGACTGTGAGTGCCGCGCGCGTCCGGGTCCAGGGGGATGGGGAAAGGGGAGGTTACGAAAATTGCTGCGTGTCGGCATGCAGGTGTTTTGGCTGGCCTGCACAGATCGGCGGCGCTCTCCCCCTACGAGGGTTGGTTTCTCCCCTCGCCCCCCCTTCTCTTTCACCCTCACCCTCACCCCCTCACCCCCCCAACCCCGCACCCTCCTCCCACCTCCCCTTCTCCCCTCCCCCCTTATCCCACCAGGGCCGTCTTGGGCATGAGCGTACGCAGCGCGCGCTCGGTGCAGTGATCCGGCGATTTGCTGTGCCCACCTGCGGCTGGCCGGCGCCCAGGTGGGTGCAGCAAACAGCTGAAAGGAATCAGCTACAGGAGCTAATTTCGAGCATCCATTCCATTCAAATCTATTTGTGCCGAGTTGTCTGTTTTGCTATACGGCGGCGTGGGCGTCGAGCCAAATTAGCTTGATGCAGATGGTTTCGCGCTGGATTGGTTGCATATGGCTAGTTTGGCGCGACACGACCTGCATGTAGCGAGCTCCGCGCCAAACTAGCTGCATGCAGCTGTTCTGCCACGCGACCAGGTCTGTGCAGGAGGCTTCGCCGACGGCGGGTCGCTTGGCATGCGGACTTGGGCCGACGACGTGTGCTCGGATCCCGGGTGATGCCGCTACGGTGCTCCCAGCAGCTACGAAGTTTCCAATTTCCCACCTCATGTCAGCCGCTTCCCGACCCTGCCCGTTACGATCCCTCCCTTTCGTCTTGGCCGCCCTCGCGCGGCCGAGCGCACCCCACGGCCAGCGCCCGTCGTCGCGCGGGCATGCGCGGGGGGCGGCATCTCCCCGCACGTATGCTCACGCGTGGGCGAAGTCCGCGCTGTTCCCTCGGCAACAGAGAGCGGGCTAGACCCTCATATCCGAGCGCTGCTATTCTCTAGCAACGGGCGTTTTCGCCAGGCTGCGGCCCCCGAGCCCCTCACAGATCGATGCGGCTCGAGACGTGGCGCAGGAAGATGGGGTCTAGGGCTCCGCTGGTGACTTACTGCGACGTCGAGTGTCCCCGTGTTTTGGCAACGCCAGATCCGAGAGAAGGGACATCGGTCCCAGAGCGTTCCGGAACGCTCTCAGAGCGTTCCGGGGCGCTCTGAGAAGGCCGCGACGCCCGATACATCCTCCAGAGCCGTTGCATCTCAGGCTTCTCGACTTATCCTCATCTGAATTTAGCTCCGTTCTAGCTCGTCTACCAAGTCATGATGTGTCCGTCAGCACGCGCGCAAAGGGTTAACCCGCAAACCAGCCATGTGCCATCGCCGATAACTTTCCCACCCCACCGTGCACGCCAGCATGCTAACGCCACCAACCCGTATAGCTTCCACCTTCGTCCCGCACTTTATGCAAATTGCCTCTCTACCAACATGCTACAGGTAGGCGCAACGCCACCAACTCGTATAGCTTCAACCTTCGCCCCGCACGCTATGCAACATGCCTGTCTACCAACATGCTACAGGTAGGTGCAACGTCACCAACCCGTATAGCTTCCACCTTCGTCCCGCACACTATGCAACATGCCTCTCGACTAACTTGCTACAGGTAGGTGCTGTTAGTCACAAGTCCTGTTCTGCCTGTTTCCCGTCGCATTCTTACTTATATTGTGGTTTTGCGGCTGTCGGCCCATTCTGCCACCGTGCTGGGCCGTGGACCAGTGACCAGAGGCCTCTTGTATGCATCTTGGAGTCTCTTAGGGGCCTTTTGGGGGGCTTCATGGGAGCCTCCTGTAGACCTCTTGGGGACCTTTTCTTCTTCAGGGCCCGTGTTATGCATGTTGAGGACGTATTAGGGTCTCCGGTTATCTTGGGTCTGCATTGGGGGGAGGCTTCTTGAAGTCTGGCGGCGGCTCGCTCTGGGACCCCTCTTGGGGCCGTCCTGGAGGCCTCTTTGTCTTTTCTTGGGGGCCATCTGAGAGCGATCTTGGGGGCCTCTTGGGCCACCCTGGACACGCTCAAGACCGAAGAGGCGAGAAAGCTAAGTCAATGCAAACATCTTCTTGAGTCATCAAATGTCTTTGGCATCTGAGGAGGCTAGCCCCCAGGGCCTCCAAGACAGCCCACGGTGATACCAAGAGAGTCCCAGAACGAATTGATGGCATGTGGGAATACCACATGCCATAGGACGAGCGCCCCAGACGGCGAAAAAGCTTGTTGTACTGTTGTTCGCCCGCTAAGAAGTGTCGATTCTCAACCACGCTCCCGAGGCCACTTGAAGCACAGTGCGGGGCGCTCCAGAAGTGCCAGGGAGCGCCCGGGAATTCTAGCAGCAATCTGGAGCACGGGGTCTCTCAATATATGGTGTGTTATTGGTTACGCTTGAGGGCATGCGAGCACTTCGCTCAGAGTCTGCTGAATGGTGGCGGACCGTCATTGCCCTTGTACTTCGCATCTGATGTTTGTTTCCCATATTGTCAAGTCCGTTGCCACTCGTACCATCAATGCTGTCCCTAGGTTTCGCATGTATGGCAACGTGTAGACGAGTGACGCTACGCTTTAAGCGTGTAAGTGAAGTGTCCGTGCTCTTGCTGTTGCTGATTGATGCAAGATTATGCTTCTGGTCCCAGTCGTCTTGTATTTCGTGCATTCTCGTATTTGCTGTAGTTGTGAATGTTTTCAACGTGGCTATCCGGTGGCCTTCGACCCATCCCGCCGCTGTGCGTGGGTTGTCGGGCTGCCTCTCAGGGGCCTCTTGGTTCCTCTTAAGGGCCTCTGGGGGTCATGCTGGGTACCTTTGAGAGGTCTCTTGAGGGCCTTTTCGAGCCCACGACACCGCGGCCCCCCCTCACCACGACACCCAACAACACCATGGAGCTTCACGACACCATTACGTTATGATAGCACAGAATATCACGTCACCGCGACACACCACGACACCACCGCACCGTGCGCGCCCAGTCCGCTAGCAGGAGTAGGAAGGCATCTTCTCGTCAGTCGTCCCGAAGACCAGGGGAGTTCGAGCACAGCCTTTGATGCTCGTCCAGCACGACATGGACAAATTCGCCGTGTCTTGGTGGTGGTGGCGGCGTGACACAAGCTTACGTACCTCCAACATCCCAGGCTCGCTGCAGTTCTGGCCCAGACTCCACAAGCCCAGCCCTGTAGCTAACCTGCAACGTGCCGCGGCGTCCGATGACGACGCTGCTCAAGTCAGGCGGGGCGCTCAGCCTCGGGACCGAGGAGCACATTTCGCTGTTGAAAGGCACCGGCGGAGTTGCCGTGAGCACGGAGAGCATGAGCGGGACGACGTTGCCTGGCCCTAGCCTCGTGGCCGAGATGAGCGACGAGATCCGGCGGTCTCAGACAGGACCGGCCGGTCCGACCAGCGGCAGCAGCTTGGGAGATTTTGGGCAGGCCGACTCGGACCCTGTCAGGGCTCCGCCGCTCAGGCCGCAGGACAGACACCAGAGCCTCCCGACGATTGTGCCGTCGGCAAAAAGCAGGCGGTCTCTTCCGGCGCTGACGCTGGTACCGACCATCAAGAGAGACACGGCCGCAATCAAGAATGGCCGCATGGCGACCGACGCCCACATCGTCGGGGACCTGCTTCTCGACCCGATCAATGTGCTGCTCGTCGCAAGCCCATTCGGCATTCTGGGAGAACTGCAAGGGTGGCCTGAAGGCTTGACGTTCGTACTCTGCTTCCTCGCATTGGTGCCACTCGCAAAACTGCTGGGGGACGCCACGGAGCACCTGGCAGAGAACCTGAATCAAACTGTTGGCGGGCTCCTCAACGCTACGTTTGGCAATGCTGTAGAGATGATCATAACCATCAATGCCATAAAGAACGGTCTCCTCGACATCGTTAAGAGCAGCCTCCTTGGGTCCATCTTGTCGAACCTCCTTCTTGTCCTCGGCATGGCGTTCTTCGCAGGCGGGCTGGCGAAGCCAGTGCAGAAATTCTCAGACTCCGCCGCACTGATCAACATTACGATGCTGCTGGTGGGGGTGATGTCTTTCTCACTCCCAACGGTTTTCTCCTTCGGCAAACCAGAAGGAGCTTCTTTGGAGATCTCACGCGTGAGCGCTATGTTTGTCAGCGTAGGCTATGTTGCGTACTTGGTGTTTCAGTTGCACACCCACGTAGAGATTTTCGAGGATGACAGCGACGATGACCAGAAGGACTTGAATTGTGAAGCTGATGCCGAGGCTCCGACTTCGAAGGTCTCCTCCGCATCAATGCCGCTGGCATCCGGCGTTCTGCTGGCCGACGACGCTGACATCCCAGAGGTTGAGGATGGCGTATTGAGTGTCCCCTGGGCTTTGGGTCTGTTGCTGGTCAGCACGGTGGCTGTAGCCGCTCTGTCTGAAGTTATGGTCGATTCTATTGATGGCATGGTCATTGCGTGGCGTGTTCCGCGGTCGTTCGTCGGCGTCATTTTGTTGCCGATAGTGGGCAACGCCTGCGAGCACGCCTCCGCAGTGCGGATGGCCTACAACTCGAAGATGGGCGCCGCGATCGCCATCGCTGTTGGGTCGAGCACGCAGATAGCGATGTTCGTGATGCCATTTTCGGTGCTGGCAGGCTGGACGGTCGGTCAACCCTCCACCCTCCATCCTCCCCAAGTCCACCTCGCCGCCCTCCATCCTGCCTCTCTCCTGCCCCCTCTTACATGGCTGAGGCTGTAGCTCAACGCTCCCCCCTCAGTGGCGGCAGGCTGGATGGTCGGCCAGCCCCTTGACTTGAACCTCGGAGCGACCGGGCTGGCCGTAATGATCCTCTCCGTGCTGGTGGCCTTCTGTAGCAATCGTTCAGGAGGACTTGGAGAACCAGGAGAAACCCAGCACGCGCTACTCATGCTCTAGGTCGCCCGCGGGGGCGCGAAGGGTATCGCACGTCGCGATCTGGACTGGATATGTTCCCTTTTTCACAGTGGCGGCGCGAGAGCGCGAGGGTGAGATGATTTTCGCGCGCCGTGCATAGCGGGGCGCGATGCGCGAAGTGAGGTGACCTAGGATGCAGCGGTGAAGCTGGTGATCTTCTGTATCAGTCGCTCAGGAGAACAGGAGAAGCTCGAAACACAATCAACTGCATAACCATAAACGTTTGGAGCTACGCTCGGGTGCCTTGGATCGGCGCCGGAGGCGCCGCCAGGGAGGGAGCCCCAGCGCCGATACAAGAAATCCGCGCGGAGCTCCGAGAGCTCCAGTTTCTGACCAGTTCTCTTCTTCTAGAAGCTCGAGAGCAGGAGGACCAGGACAACCTGCGACGAGCCAAGTGGTGAAGCCCTCTCCGTCGTCGTCGCCTCCGCCCGCCATCGCCGTCGCCGTCGTCGTCGTCGGCGGCGGCGACGGCGGCGGCATCGTCGTCGTCAGCGTCTTCGTTGTCGTCGTCGTCGCCGCCGTCGTCGTCGTCGTCGTCGCCGTCGTCGTCGCCGGCGTCGTCGTCATCGTCGTCGTCTGCCACTGCGGCGGGCGCCCGCTGGAAACGTCGGGGGGGCTCGCGGGCCTGCGCGGCAGGAGCTCCGGGTGGCTTTGAGCCAGCCGAGCATCGACGATGGTTGGTGGCGCTCACGAGCCGTCGTCCCTCCGCCTTGATGTCTTTCCCTGGTCCTCGCTTCGCTCGCTCTTCGAGCCCTCGTTCGATCCCTACTCGTCGCCGTGCGACGCGGTGCAAGGGAGTTGCAGTCGGGGTTGATTGGAGAGGACACGCGGGAGGACACAAGACCCTCCCGAGGGCCACATTGCCACAGGAGTTTAGAAGGCATGCGTCGCGAAACACAGTACACGAGGGCACCCTTGGTCTGGTGTGGCCGACCAACGAATCAATCCCGACTGTAGCGCTGGACTCCAACGCACGCCCAAGGCAAAAACGGGCGCCCACGAGGGCCTGGTGCAATGGGAGCGGCGTTCTCTTCTCGGCTGCGAGCCCTGGGGGGACGTCCGAAAAGGGGTGGGCCTTCTCAGAGGCCCTCCGGCCTTCCGAGAAGCTGTCCCTGCCTTCTCGCCGTGGGGGAAGTGGGTCCTGAGGGAAGCGGGTCCTGAAATTTTTCGCAGTCTCCGGGTTCCTGGTGCCCCCATGGGCCCAGGGACCATCAGGGTACGTTTCAGGACCCGCTTCCCCGCGCGAATCTTCGGAGCAGGATCGGAAGTCCTCTCAGAGGGCCAGAGGCCTTCCCAGTCTACTTCTGATAAGGCCCGCCCCCTCTGCATTCCCCCCCTGGGCTCGCCGCCGACCTCAGAGTCGATCAAGAACAAAAGTGCGCGAGCACAAATTGTTGGAGCTCCGCGCGGATTTTTTGGATGAGCGTTGAGCCACCCCTTCAGCGGCGTCAGGGAGGGGGTCCAGTGCCGATCCAAGAAGTCCGTGCGGATCTCTGGACATGTGTATATGCTATTGTTTTTTCTTGTGCGAAAGACGGGGGGGAGTTCTTAGAAGTCAGGCGCCTCCTGAGACGGCCCCACAAGGCTTCTTAGAAGGCTTCTCAGAAGCCGAGCGGGCTTCTAGGAAGCCCCGCCGCCTTCTAAGAAGTACGCCTCGCTCGTGCCACCCTGAGATGGAACATCACACGTTTTTTCATGGCGACTGGTTGCCATAAAAGATGTGTGATGCTCCATTTCAGCACTTCTGGTGTGGCGATTGGTCGCCATATAAGAAAAGCGTGTGATGTTTCATCTCGGCGGCGGGACTTCTCAGAAGGCGTCGCGCCTTCTGAGAAGGTGTCTGTGTCTTCGGGGAAGGCTTAGAAAACGGTTCAGAAGGCCGAGAGACTTCCGAGCCGTCTGCGAAGGCCCGCCCCTTCTCATTTCCCCCCCCGCCCGCCGCCGAAAGAGGGGATGCACAGAGCTGGCCGCATCCTGACCGCGATGCGTCCGCCGGCGGACGCGTTGAACAAGAGAGCAGAGCAGTGTGTGCTGTGCTGTTTGTGTGCTGTGTGTGTGCTCTTTGTGTGTTTGCTCTGTGTGTGTGCGCTGTGTGCTGGGTGTTGTGTGTTGTGTCTGTGTGTGGGCGCCGAAGGCGAGAGCTGGCCTCCACCCGTGCGAGGGTCTCCCATGCTTCGAGCAGGGGGTTGACTACATAATCGATCTATCCCAGAATTGATTATCTCGTCGAACCCACGAGAACAATACACAGAATAGTCCGTAGATGTACGGAGCATTGTAGTCATGTTTCGTAGATTCGACGGGAAATCAATTTGGGGATACATCGATTCTGCAGTCCATCCCCTACTCGAATACTGCCGTCGGTGGCTCCGAGCTTTCGGGGCCAGGGGTCCTTCTGCCCCATCCGTCGGGGGTTGCTGAAGGTGCTCCTGGCCCAAGGCGCCCCCGAGCCTCTCGCTCCGCTCTGTGGCCCTCTGGGGCCCCCTGGGGTGCTCCTGGGGGCCGTGGGGGCCCTCCCTGGAAGTCCTGGGGGGCACCGCGGGCCAGAGGGGCACTTCTGGCAACGCCCGGATCAGAGGGAGTGACCCCTCCTCCTCCCTGTCCTCCTCCTCCTCCTCCCTGTCCTCCTCCTCCTCCTTCTCCTCCTCCTCCTCCTCCTCCTCCTCCTCCTCCTCCTCCTCCTCCTCCTCCTCACCGCCGTCGTCGTCGTCGTCGCCGTCGGCTCCGTGGGAGGGGCCGCCCTCCACCCGTGCGGGTATCGGAGGCCGCATCGGCTGGAGCGTTCCCTGGGAGGAGGCGCAGAAAGGGGGCCCCAGGTCCACGGGCAGGCCTCGACAGGGGGACGCCATTAGGACGTCCTGGTGCATCCTGGGAGAGGGTACCCTCGAATGATCGTTTTTGCCAGCGGAGGGTCTCGTGTTCTCGAAGGCTGTTCCTCTGTCCCAGGTCCGCCCGTAGATCTTCGGCACCAGGCCGTTCCACCGCAACTTCGGCTCTATAGTCTACAGCGCGGAGGGCTGAGCATCCGAGGCCCCATCGCACCATAGTTGAGTGGTGGGCCGCGCATAGCAGTAAATTCATCTGCTTCCTGAGGGTGTTCAGTCGAGAGCCAGGCGTTGAGATGTTAACGCCCTCCCGATTCCGTCGGAACAGCTGTGTGCGACGCGACAGCGAAAGCTTCAGGTTGAAAGTGGTTCGCCTGACATCAGTGTATGTGCTGGACGGTATGTGCTGAACGTATGTGCGGCGCTACCGCCAGACCCACAGTCTGTGTTGCACAATCCGACCGTGTAACTGATGGAACATGTGAGGGGTTTCGGAAACCCCTTTGTCTCCCAGAGTTAATAAATGTGTCATCTCTTGGTTTGGCGGAAGCCGGCGGAAGGCTGGCGGAAGGAGTCGACAGTAAAACATACTATTTGGGGGACGGAGAGCGCGGCGAGGAGGGGAGGGAGAGAGAGGGGCGGCGGGAGAGGAACGGGGCGGAGAGGCCGCGGCGAGGAGGTCCCCCCGCGGAAGGGCCAAGGGAATAACGGCGGAAGGGCGACGGAAGCGGAGGAGGAGGAGGAAGAGGAGAAGGAGGAGGAGGAGGAGGAGGAGGGGGAGGAGGAGGAGGAGGAGGAAGAGGGGAGGAAGGAGGAGGAGGAGGAGGGAGAGCATGAGGATGAGGAGGAGGAGCAGGAGGAGGAGGAGGAGGAGGAGGAGGAGGAAGGGAGCCACCGCCCGTGAGCCCCAGAAGTATGAGTTTGCAATGGCCGGAGGAAGAGACGAGAAAAAAAGGAGGAAGGAGGGAGTGGAGGAGGAGGAAATGGGAGAGTGGGAGGCGGAAGCGAGGATGGGATGGATGGAGTGGGCGCCGACATTCGAATCATTAACCGAAGCCCGTTGTTTGCAATTCGAAACGATCGCAGTCTCCGGAAAAACAACGGTGACGGACACATGCAAATCTTCAATTACCGGGTGTCCGCATGGTTACCTCCTTTTGCCTCAACCTCCCGTCCTCTCTTCCGGCGTCGTTCGTCCCTCCACAATGTCCGCGTATTCGGCAACATCAATACTCAGCATCTGCAGCGTCCGAGGTATCCCGGTTGGTTTTCGGCAGCATACCGACGCGCGTCGGTTGCACAATACGCCGGCATGATATGTACTCAATGTATACCTAGATGTATATTCATATAAGTATATACATAAACATCTATGCGTAAAACCATATATATATATATATATATATATATATCTGTGTGTGAGTGTGTATCCGCGCACGCGTGCCAAGAGAGAAGCTTTTGTCTGTCTGCAACGGGACCCTTCTAGGATTGGCAGAAGGGGCGCGGAAGCCACGGCGGAATGCCGGCGTAACAAAGTTTGGGCTCTGGTGTCCCTGCCCTCGAGCGAGCGCTTAATTTTGTTCCGAACGCGAATTCTGACTGAGTTTGAATTTTTTCCGCATATGATTTCATCGCCCTTCTTCGTCCACTTTCAGGCAGAGTTTTGAGGTCTCGTGCGGGATGTTGTTTTCGGTCTTGCGTTCTTTTCGTTTTGTGTCTTGGCCAGAATCGTATTTGGACACGCTGTATAGGTCTTTCTTTGCAGTCGTGTGCCCGTTTTCTTCGCGCGATCATTGTGTCCATGCGGTATTGCATGCGTTATTCTTCAAGCTTCAAGTTCATGGAACGGGTTCGCGTAGCAAGTCATACGTGTAAAGGTTTGAATCTCAAACCATTGCAGCCTGATGAGCCGTCCATTCGTGGGGAACGCTTAAATTTGTGAGCGATGCAACGTCGGGAAGTGTCGTTGAACACTCATGCGTGAAGTCCGATTCTAGTGTTTAGAATGCTACATATGGTGTAACTGTTTGAAGAAAAGTTTGTTGTGCCTAATTGTCTTGTTGGTCTTGCCTTGTGCGAAAG